CCTTAATTTTTACATACGAGGATATACACTCTTAAAAGACAAAAAATAAAAATAAAAAAATCCTAAGTACATAAACTCAAACAGAGTATGTATATTTAAATAGATTTTATCGTAAAAATATTACAAATTTAAAATTAAAACTCTAACACAAATCCGTGTAAATCACCATTTTTTTTAAAAAGGTGAAAATTTCATACTTAAGCACAAATATAAATAATCATAAAAGAAAACTCTAGGAAAATAAAAATAAAGACTCAAACACAATTATATATATATATATATATATATATATATATATATATATATATACTAAAAATTCTCATTTTTCATGGGAATATTTTTACAAAATTTTAATAAAAATTGTAAGAAATAAGTTTTCTATAAATTTAAACAATTTTTTACAAAAAAATTGGCAGAAAAAAACTAGTTTTCTAGTAGTAGTGATATATATATATATATATATATAATAATAATAATAATAATAATAATAATAATAATAATAATAATAAATAACTTTAAAACCACAAATACAAAATCAAGTTAATTTCATGAGTTTCACTTTTAATTTAATAAATTACATATGTTTTATAATTTTGATGAAGTTTAGTCATTAATATTCATTATATTAGAAAAATATTATTATAAATATTATATTAAACACATCACATTTTGAGACACACTTAAATATAATCAAACTCCTTTTATAAATATTAAAATAAATAGACATCATCTCAAACTCAAATAAAACTCATGAAAACACTATGATTTAAATATATATATATATATATATATATATATATATATATATATATATATATATATATATATATATATATATATATATATATAGTCATAAACCCAATAAAGAAACATAAATGTATGATTTAGTGGTAGTAAATAGTAAAGTATGACATACAAACTACAAAAACTTAAAAATGAAAATAGTTTGAATTGATTTAAATTTCTAATATTCGAAACTTCTTAAAAAAAAAAAAATTCTAAACACTAACTTGTAGCATCTAACTCTAATGGTTTAGTTTTTTTTTCCTCTAGTTGTTAATTTATAATAAAAAGTATTAATTAATAGATAAATTATGATTGTGGTATTTGAAATTGAAAATTGAATTAAGATTGTGGAATTTTAAAAAAATTATAAACTAAAATGTAAATGATAAAAAAAAATAAAGGAAGATTTTGTTTTTTTATTTTGTTTTATTTTTATTTTTTATAGTTGATGCTCTTAGTTAATAAATGTGATTCGTTAAACCCATGGTGATTTTTTTAATAAATTTTAATAAAAGAGATAAAAAAATATAAAAATATATGGTTAAATTTATTTTATTTTATATACTTTTTAATTTTTTTATTGTAACTTTTATTCTTTAAAAACAAAATACATTTTAAGTGAAATGTTAGTAATATGTTGAAAAATAAAAAAGTTGTGAGTTTCACTCCTTCTTTAACTAAACATCCCTTATGATTTTATAGTTTTAAACAAGATTAATGTTTTATTTTGAAAATATATTTTTTTAGAATGAAAGATGTTTGATATAATTAAACAAGATATAGGTTAATTAATTAAAATTAATGTATACTTAAAATATATTCAAATCTATTGGAACTAACCTGAATGAGAGATGAGAGAAATATGTGTTGTATGGTTACTATTCAATTGCATCATTAATGTAGTTTATATACATGGACAACTTTATGTTAAAATAGAGCTTGACTATGTAATAAAAACACTAATATTCTCCCTTAAGTCAAGTACTTGAGAGATACAACTCTAATTTTGTTCTTCAAATCTTCAAACCTCTCATTCTTCAAGGCTTTTGTGAAAATATCAACTAGCTGCATCTCCTTTTTGCAGTAAATCATTGCAATTCTTCCTTTATTCACCAAATCTCTAAGGAAGTGATACTTCACTTCTATATTTTTTCTCCTTGACTCACTGGATTTCTTAATTAGTTTATGGTGGAAATATTATTTATCTTCAGCTGCATTTGTGTCTTTATAGGGATCTTCAACTCTCTTAGCAGTTCCTTAAACCAAACTCCCTGACATGCCGCATAAATCCCAATTATATACTCTACTTCACAACTGGATAGAGTTGCTACCGATTGTTTCTTGGAACACCAGGAAATAGGAGCATTATTTAGTAGGAACAGTGTTCTTTCTCTCCACTAGATCACCACAATAACCAGAGTCAGTAAATCCAATCAACTCTAACTTTAATTTCTGTCTCTAATTAGGAAATAATACTCCTTAATTTGTTGTTCCTTGAATGTATATCAACAATCTCTTGGAAATTAGCATATGAGACTTCTGCTCACCAGTCCTACACTGAATGATAAATATGGCCTGTTGTTACAAAGATACAGTAGAGAGTCAATGATTTGCTTAAAGATTGTCTCATCTACAGCCTCTCGAGATTCATCCTTTGTTAATTTCAAATTAACCTTGATAGGACTCATTTCTGCATTGCATGAGACTATGTTGAATCTCCTCAACAATTCTCCAATATATTTCTTCTGATGCATTACCAGCCCTACAATAGTGTAAGTGAACTACATGCCTAGGAAATAACTCAGTTTTCCTAGATCTGTCATCTCAAACTCAACCTCCATTGTCTTCTTGAAGTCTTCAATGTCTCTTAGGTTTGATCAAATCATAAGTAGATCATCAACATATAGACAAATTATCAGCAGGTCTCCCGTGTCTTTCTTTACCTACACTTTGTAAACTTGAGATTGAGTAAGAAGGAATCAATTTTCTTATTCCAAGCTCTAACTAACTGTTTTAAGGCTTCATTCTCATCAATAGATTCTGCTCCTGTCATTTGAACCAAATTCCACTCATCATTGACTTGTCCATCAGAGTGCATCTCAAAATCATAGAATCTGTGTGACATTACTTTCTCCCTCTGTGGCCTTTTAGACACAGAATTTTATGGTGCAACATCACTTCTAGCAGCTTCCTCTGGTTCTATCAACATAGAGCTATCAACAACACCATTTGTCACATTTTTCTTTAGATTGGTCTACATTTGTTCCTAGTCCTAACTCTCATGTTCTAACACCTAAACATCTCTACTCATTACTACATTTTCTTTTACTAGATCAAAGAGTTTATAAGCTCCAGTAGGATAATAGCCAATGAACAATATTACTTCACTTTTATCTTAAAGTTTGCTTCTCCTCTAATCAAGTATATGCTTAAAAGCTAGTGACCCGAAAACCTTGAAGTGACCAATTGTTGGCTTCACTCCATACCAAACTTCTAATGGCACCTTCCACTCTAGCTTTTTTGTAGGACATCCATTCAGGTTATAAATAGTTGTTGATATTGCTTCACCCCAAAATTTCTGTGGTAAACATTTTTCCTTGATTAAACTTCTAGTCATGTTCAAATTGCCCTATTTCTTCTCTTTGCAAGGTCATTATGCTGAGGTGTATATGGTGCAGTAACTTCATGCACAATGTCCCTGGTCTGACAGTAATTCTCAAAGGCATTAGAGGTGAATTCGCCTCCTCCATCTGTTCTTAGAGTCTTCAACAATTTTCCACTCTCCCTTTCTACATATGCCTTGAATCTCAACAAAGTCTCAAATGCTTCACTCTTCAATCTGATCACATACAACCATATTATCCTACTAAACTCATTCACAAAGGTAATAAAATACTTATTTCCTGCCATTGAAGGAACCTCAAAGGGTCCACATATATCATAGTACACAAACTTCTAAGCAGTCTTGGATCTCACGCTCAAATGTGCTTGAAATGTTTTTTTTTTTTGTACAGCTAAACAGACCTCACACTCTCTGGTAGTGTAATATTGGGCATTCTAGAAATCATTTTTTTCACACCAAGTTGTTGTAGACTCTTGAAGTTTAAGTGGTCATATCTTGAGTGCCACAACTAGCTATCATCATCACTCTTCACAGTAGACAAGAATTGTACATCAGCAACCCTCATGTTGACTTGGAACGTTCTGTTCTTGGAAAGCTTACTCCTCAAGGTCATATTTTTGTTGACATCAAACAATTTAATCCTGTCATAATTTCTCATGACTACTGTAAATCCTTTCTGTACCAATTGGTCAATGCTCAGAAGGTTGAACTTCATTTCAGGAACAAACAACACATTGGAGATCACTGTCTATGAACCATTATTCCTCAGAAAAACATCTCCACAACCCTTCATTTGATTTGTGACAAAAGTTATGGTGTGACTAAAATGCGGAACTGGAACGTTATGGCGCGATGACACATCAAAAGTTGTGACCCAATTGAAACAGAAACACAGGACTGACTTGTAGTGGTGGCATGGAATAGAAGTGGATAGACATGATAACATTAATTAAGATTACTAATTATTTTTAAATGTTAAAATGATTAGTGGGTTATGGGTCAACCTACCATAACCCGGTTCGAACCCACTTAACCTATGGGTTAAGTAAGTCGGGTTCATTTTTAACCCATTATCAATAAAAACAAAAAAAATCAAATACAACCCAACTCAAATCCATGATAAGTCGGGTTGACCCACGGATTATAACCCATATGGAAACTTCTACTAAACACTGATTTATACATACCAGTTTACCTTTGCCAGAACTTGAGAACCCAAAAAAACCCTTAAAGCAGATATATACACACACCAGTGTACCTCCAGCTACGTCTGCAAACCCTCCAAGACAAAAACAAGGTAAGTATCTCCATTTATGTCTAAGAACCCTAAAAGTGTCCTAAAAATGGAAATACGTAGATAAAACACATATCTAAAAATGCTTAATAAAAAATTGCTTAAAAGTTGAAATTTGAAATAAGTAGCTCGAACGACACCTCAGTAGATCCAACTTAGTTAGAAATAACTTCGTAGCAAAATTCTATCTTGTAAGTTTTTTTTTTTTTTTATCTCCTCTTACATTTTCTTACATTTTACATATTTTTTTCATATATTATTTATTTTCTAACATTTCAGTAGTTCAGTCTGAGGCATATGGACGCAAAAAAGGCATTTCCAAAGGAAGACTTCCCCGCCAAAGAAAACGGTCAGAACAGTCAGCAACTTCAACTAACTTCAGCTGAAACTCCACACGTCATCACAGACATGCAATCCGCATCTCTTCTGTTTTCTTCAAATCCAGGTCATAAACATGTTATTGTTGTGTTATTTTACCTGTCGATTACATCAAAACTTTTACGTTTAACTCTTAATTAATTTGTCTGATCTTGTTTAAAATTTCTATTTCATTTTTGCATTTGTGCTTTAGAGGCATATTTATGATTATGATACATACTGTAAAGTCAATTATTTGCTATTTATGCTTCAGACTTCTTAATTGTCATTTTTTGCGGCTTTTATACTTTTACCCTTATTATTCCTCAACAAATTCATGATTTTGTTTTTTTTATTGAAATAGATGTGGAGAACGGCAAGAGTAAAGATGAATTTGTTATTTCAAAAACAGAAGGGGAAATTATAGATAAAAAGAAACGAAGTTTGACAGTGAGCAGTAATCAGACTTTTGGTACGCGCAAAGTGCCAAGACGTGCTGCAGCGTGTAGAGATTTGAAGGAGAAATCTGTTTCGATATCTGATAAGTCCTGTATCATCGAAACAGAGAAGGATCACATTGTAGATGAAGAAATCGTAGCTGTCCGCATGACTGCAGGACAGGATGATGGTCGACCAAATAGGCGAATTACAGAGTTTATCCTTCATGATGGAAATGGCACAGGACAGCCACTTGAGATGCTTGAAATTACTGATTTATATATCACTGCAGCTATATTGCCTCTTGAATCAAGCACAGGCAAGAAAAAAGAGAAAGGTATAAGGTGTGAAGGATTTGGTCCAATTGAATATTGGAATATATCTGGCTATGAAGATGGTACTCCAGTGATATGGATTTCTACTGATGTTGCTGATTATGACTGCCAGAAACCTGCTGCGAGTTACAAAAAGTTTTACGATCGTTTCTTCGAAAAGGCTCGTGCATGTATAGAAGTATATAGAAAACTCGCTAATTCCTCCGGCGGGAACCCTGATATAAGTCTTGATGAGTTACTTGCTGGCATGGCACGGTCTATGAGTGGTAGCAAATGCTTTTTTGGAACTGCATCCATAAAGAATTTTGTTATTTCTCAGGGTGAGTTCATTTATAAGCAACTCATTGGTTTGGACATGACATGCAAGACACATGATAAGAGGTTTGCAGATATCCCTGCCCTTATTGCTTTAAGAGATGAGACTAAGAAACAGGCAAACTATTTGCATACACAATTACTGCCCTCAAATGGGAGTCTAAGAATTGACTCGGGAACTGGAGATGGAAAGAACACGAATCAGATGAATTTGGTAGATTCTGCAAACCATGAAGATAAAGATGCAAAGTTCGCACGACTCTTGCAAGAAGAAGAGTATTGGCAATCTATGAAGCAGAAGAAACACTCGAGATCAGCCTTTGTATCTAACAAATATTATATCAAAATTAATGAAGATGAGATCGCCAATGATTATCCCCTCCCTGCTTTTTACAAAACCTCTCTTCATGAAACTGATGAGTTTATAGTTTTTGATAATGGCTATGATATGTATGACACTGAAGATCTTCCTCGAAGCATGCTGCATAATTGGTCTTTGTACAACTCCGATGCAAGATTGGTTTCCTTGGAACTTCTTCCTATGAAACCTTGTCCAGACATCGATGTTGCTATCTTTGGTTCTGGTGTAATGACTCTAGATGATGGAAGTGGGTTCCATCTTGAAACTGAGGCGGGTCAAACTTCTTCCGCTGGTTCTGAAGCACAGGCTGCTGATGGAATGCCAATTTATCTGAGTGCCATAAAGGAATGGATGATTGAATTTGGATCATCTATGATTTTTATATCCATCCGAACAGATATGGCCTGGTACGATGCCTCGTGTCTAAAATAAATATTGTTTATCATTAAAATGAAATATAATTAGAAAATCCACTTGATTACCTGGGTACCAAACTGTTGATATAATCTATTGTAAACAAACTGTTGTAAAAAAATGGGTTAACTGTTATGGATGAATTTATCATATCATAATCTTATGATGAGATATCTGTAAATACTGTAAGTAAATTCATCTTCGAATAATTTTGTTCTAAATACAATTCGTATAGACTAATTCATACTTGATTCCTTTCAGGTATAGACTTGGGAAACCAGCAAAGCAGTATGCTCCTTGGTATGACACAGTGCTGAAAACTGCAAGGCTTGCTATAAGCATCATTACTTGGCTGAAGGAACAGAGCCGAGTATCCCGACTTTCCTTTGGAGATGTCATCAAGAAAATATCTGAGTTTAATCAGAAAGATGGTTCTTACATTTCTTCCGACCCATCCACTGTTGAGAGATATGTTGTTGTCCATGGACAGATTATTCTGCAACTGTTTGCAGAATTTCCTGATGATAAGATCAGAAGGTCTGCATTTGTGACGGGTCTTGCAAAGGAAATGGAGGAGCGACACCATACCAAATGGTTAGTGAAGAAGAAGAAAGTTGTGCCCAGGAGTGAACCAAACTTCAATCCTAGGGCAGCAGTGGGTCCTGTTGTGTCCAAGAGGAAAGCTATGCAAGCAACAACAACAAGGCTGATCAATAGAATATGGGGAGAGTATTACTCAAACCACTTGCCAGAGGATTCAAAAGAGGGGGCTGTTAGTGAATCAAGGGAAGAGGATGAAGTAGAGGAACAGGAAGATAATGAAGATGAGGACCATGAAGAGGAGCCAATACTTTTGGAGGGAACCGCAAAGAAACATTCAGCTTCAAAGCAAACTAAAACATTTTCTGCTAATGCAGAAATAAGATGGGAAGGAAAACCTGAAGGGAAGACTAGTTCTGGATATCCTGTTTATAAACAGGCAATCATTAATGGGGAAGTTATTTGTGTAGGAAGATCTGTGTTAGTGGAAGTTGATGAAACAGATGAACTTCCAGACATGTATTATGTTGAATATATGTTTGAGTCAAAGAATGGAAGAAAAATGTTCCATGGTAGGATGATGCAGCATAGTTGCCATACTGTTCTTGGCAATACTGCTAATGAGAGAGAAGTGTTTTTGACTAATGAGTGTAAGGATTTGGGACTGCAGGATGTTAGGCAGACAGTTGTTGTAAATATTCAAAAAAGGCCTTGGGGGCATCAGCATCGAAAGGATAATATCATTGCAGATGGTGTTGACAGGGCTAGAGCAGAAGCAAGGAAGAAGAAAGGACTACCTACTGAATATTATTGTAAAAGCCTGTACTGGCCTGAAAGAGGTGCTTTCTTTAGTCTTCCATCTGATACTTTGGGTCAAGGGTCTGGTATTTGCTCATCTTGCAAAATACACGACATTGAAAAGGAGAAGGATATTTTCAATGTAAATTCCTCCAAGTCTGGTTTCCTATTTAAAGGAATTGAGTATTCTCTTAATGATTACGTTTATGCAAGTCCATTTGAATTTGAGGAAAAGATCGAGCAAGGAACTCATAAGAGTGGGAGGAATGTGGGGTTGAAAGCTTATGTTGTGTGCCAAGTCCTAGACATTGTTGTCAAAAATGAAATAAAACATGCTGAAATAAAATCTACACAACTCAAAATCAGAAGGTTCTTCCGACCAGAAGATGTATCAAATGAGAAGGCATACTGTTCTGATATACAAGAGGTATAAGCTGCTTAAAAGTTAATAATTGATCTTGAATCAAGATGTACACATGCACATGGGAGAGGAATAACAAATGATTTTACTGAAAGAGAGTAAAAGTGGCTATGGCTTTTGTACAAGTCTTAGATAGCAGGAATATGTGGATTTTATAATATTATTTTTCCTAAATCATCCATGCTTGATCTGGCCATGATAAGTGAACTGCTATTTGTGCATATTGCTTTATTTTGTTTTGGTTCTACTTTTGTGTATCTCATCTTTAAGTTTTTTGTACTGACTACTATTTCATAATTTATATTTTAGGTGTATTACAGTGACGAAACACATACAATATCTGTAGACTCCATTGAAGGGAAATGTGAAGTTAGAAAGAAGAGTGACATTCCGGATTGCAGCGCCCCCGGAATGTTCCAAAATGTATTTTTCTGCGAGCTCTTATATGATCCTGCCACCGGCTCACTGAAAAAGGTATTGTGTAGTTGGCTCTTTTATACAAGCATCCAATATGCTTGTTAATCCAGTGGATAAATCTGCAATGTATTGAGATTTTATGAATATTATAGTTTTTTTAATTACATTTTAAATAAATTTGGCCTATTCGAAGTCATGATTTTGAACTAAGTCATATTTATCTGCTCTTATCCTCTATGTTGTATTCTGTTCCCTAGTCATTTAATAACTGGCAAGGCAACCGCCTATTTGTAGTACCGGCTAAAAATAATTGTTTTGTGGAGTGTTGCTGTGTGATAGAATCTATCGAAAGCTTCGTTGCCTGGTTCCACATTATATTTACCTTCAGTAGTAAAATTTTAAGAAGCGCATATTTGACCCACTAAAATATGTTAAATATTTTTAAATTGTTAGTAAACGAGAAAGTGCTACACTGTAGTAAACTGGTGGTGTCATAATGATACTGCAGATTGTTATTGTAAAACATGGCCTTGTTAGTTGATTAAAATTAAATCCAATTTGAAAGTTTTAATTCTTTGTAAAGGCTTTATATAATTTCCTATCTGTTATATTTTGTAATTAAACTAAAAAGTACTTTAGTTTTGCTTAGGATATCATCATCATTGTTCTTCTTCGTGACATCAATTTCACTTTCACGTGTAGCTGGAAAAGTGCAGGTTTTGATTTTCGATAATTAACTAATAATATTTTTCAATTTTTGACAGTTGCCAGCTCATATAAAAGTGAAATATTCAAATGGACAATCATCGGATGATGCAGCGAGAAAGAGAAAAGGAAAATGTAAAGAGGGAGATGAACTTCCAGAGCCCTGTAAAGTTAAAAGATTAGATGAAAAACGTTTAGCAACCTTGGACATCTTTGCAGGTTGTGGTGGTTTATCACAGGGGTTGGAGCTGTCAGGTAATCTTAACTACAATATTATAGCAAGAAACCAAACTGTATCTGCTTCCAATGCATAATATAACGTTTATTTTATTGCTAAAATGGTTCAGGTGTTTCATCAACTAAATGGGCTATTGAGTATGAAGAACCTGCTGGTGAAGCATTTAAAGCTAATCATCCTGAGGCATTGGTTTTCATTAACAATTGCAATGTTATTCTTAGGTAAATAATCCCATTTGGATAACATATTCCTGGCCAACTGTTGAAAGGTGTGGAACCTGTTTAAGTGACATGGTTGATTTATTATAATGTAGGGCCATAATGGAGAAGTGTGGGGACATAGATGATTGTATCTCAACATCTGATGCTGCAGAATTGGCTGCAAAGCTTGATGAGAAAGAAATAAGTAGTTTACCATTTCCTGGACAAGTTGATTTCATTAATGGGGGTCCTCCATGCCAGGTCTCTCTAGCTGTTGGCTTCTTTTTTCTTTTTTTTTGCTGATGAATATTTTATCGGGTAATTGTTCACTAATGTGTTGTTTTTGCTTTCAGGGTTTCTCCGGGATGAATAGATTTAGCCAGAGCAGTTGGAGCAAAGTCCAGTGTGAGATGATATTAGCATTCTTATCGTTTGCTGATTATTTCAGGCCAAGGTATTTCTTGTTGGAGAATGTGAGAAACTTTGTGTCTTTCAATAAAGGACAGACATTCCGTTTAACCTTGGCTTCTCTTCTTGAGATGGGTTATCAGGTAAAATTACTGCTACCTTCTTCGTTGAATAATTGCACTCTTTTGATGAATAAAACTTGAAGTGAGTGTTTTATTTTTACTTGGTCAAAAAGGTGAGGTTTGGTATCCTTGAGGCTGGAGCATTTGGGGTTTCTCAATCAAGAAAAAGGGCATTCATATGGGCAGCCTGTCCTGATGATGTGCTTCCTGAGTGGCCAGAACCAATGCATGTCTTTTCGGCACCCGAGTTGAAGATCACATTATCTGAGGGAGTACAATATGCTGCTGTCCGCAGTACTGCAAATGGTGCTCCGTTACGTGCAATAACCGTTAAAGATACCATTGGTGATCTCCCAGCTGTTGGCAATGGAGCCGCAAAAGGAAACATGGACGTATGTACAATAGGCAAGATACATCGCATTCCTCCACTCTTAAATTTTCACTGACTATTTGCCTGTGTTTTATGTTGTGCAGTATCAAAATGATGTTGTATCATGGTTTCAAAAGAAGATTCGCGGAGAGATGGTAGTCTTGACTGATCATATTTCCAAGGAGATGAATGAATTAAACTTGATTCGATGCAAGAAAATCCCCAAGAGGCCAGGTGCTGATTGGCGTGATCTTCCAAAGGAAACGGTGAAGCTAAATTCTTGTGAACTTTAGCATAACAATATTTGTGATCTATCTAATTTATGAAACCTAATGAAATGCAGGTAACATTGTCTAATGGACAAGTTGTTGATTTGATACCATGGTGCTTGCCCAACACGGCTAAGCGGCACAATCAATGGAAGGGACTATTTGGTAGGTTGGATTGGCAAGGGAATTTCCCAACTTCCATTACAGACCCTCAACCAATGGGGAAGGTTGGAATGTGCTTCCACCCTGACCAAGATAGGATTCTTACTGTTCGTGAATGTGCTCGATCACAAGTAAGTTGATAACTCTTGTTTTGATAAGAAATGGAATCCTAACAAATTGAAATTTCTATTAGTTTTGAATTGTTATGGAAGTTTCCTGAATATATGGACAGTTAAAAGATCTTGATTGTTATCAATTAGTTGTTTTAATAGATATATCAAAGGAATTAATTTCTATGATTAAATACCGAGCATAGTAATCCTTAATAATTAATGCCAAAACTATCCTTGTTATCTTTGCCTAAGAAACAGTCATGCATCACATAATTTGGTATAATCTTTATAGCTAAACATATTTTCATCTATTATGAATGCAGGGATTCCCAGATAGCTATAAATTTTCTGGCAATATCATTCACAAGCACAGACAGATTGGTAATGCTGTGCCTCCTCCTCTAGCATTTGCATTAGGGAGAAAGTTGAAGGAAGCAGTGAACAGTAAGAGTTCCACACAGAAGATGGACCTTCAATTCTTTCAAGATCATGCTTGGTAATACCATTTGTGAAGATATTTGCAAATCATGATTCAGGGTTCCAGAAACAATTAACCCTTGTATGCAGTGATATCCATTGATCATTTGTTTGAGGTTAATTCGTCCTTTATTTTTCCCCAACCAAGGAATTGAATGAATGATGTTACGAAGATTTCATTTTGTAACAACTTGAATTTTCTTGATTAATTGATGTGTTTGCTGTTTATGAAAAAATGGCTGGAAGTTACATAATTTGATTTCTGAAAAACTTGAAAAGATATTAAATAACAGTAATTTTGTGGAAAAGTGACAGTCTCCGATTGTGGGACCCACGGACTGTCAATGGTATGTCATATCTAAATTCAATAATTATTATAAATAATTAAAATAAAAAATATTATGAATAATAAATGTATAATGTATGCTTAAAATAATAGTAAAATTATAATTAATACAAATTAAATTTTAAAATATTAAAATAATTCTAAAACCTAAAGAAAAGTATAATGAAAATGTTACTATAATAATAATATATTAAAATATGTTTTATGTCTTGGTATATTTTCCAATTTTATATGACTTGAATTATGGTATTTACATAAACAAACTTTAAGAATGTGTTGGATGAATAGTTTTTCAAATGTTAAAGAATTTAAAAAATAATTAAAATGAAATAGTCAAATTTATTTCGATTGTGAGATAATTTGGCTAAATTATTAAACTCTATAAACCCTAATGCTCAATCAAGAGAGACACATCAAACCTCGAACTAAAAAAAAAAATCACAGCGACGTTATTGTCTTTTTAAAAAATTAGGGAGTGCGTGTGAAAAATAAAGGGTCCTAAAAGCAATTGCACTAGCCTGTGAAAAAAACGGGCCGAAGCATACCAGTTGTATAAAATATATAAATGCTTATTAGATATATCGAAGTTAATGAATATGAAAGGATAGATTTCCATATTAGGTATATCACAGAAAACACAATCATGTGTCAAGAAACACAATCAAGTCAAAAAATAAAAAACACAATTGAGTCAGAAAAAACACAATCCAAATATATATATATATATATATATATATATATATATATATATATATATATATATATATATATATATATATATATATATATATATATATATATATCAAATGCAGGAAAATCCCTACAAATTAAAATACGGACATGATACCTCTTGTAACCCTTCAAAACTTCAGAAAAATAATTTGAAGATCTCAATCTTAGAAATATTGGAAGTATCCCGTGCCTCTTTTTTTTTTTTTTTTTTCTTGCATTTTTTTTCATATATTTTTTATTTCTTAAGATCTCAGTGAGGCTTATGGGCGCCAAAAAAGCATTTCCTCTTAAGATTGGTTTGCCATCAAAGACAATAATCCGATTTTTCTTATGAAGGGTGGATTAAAAAGGTTGGATCAATCTTCTTACAAAACTTACGTCATATGAATAAAAAAAATGTTAATCGATAAAAAATAATAAAACTATTATTTCAATTTTTATTTTAGAAAGTCATATCATAAATAAATTAATGATAGATTATATTATTAATATGACCTTATTAGAATATTAATTATAATGTATAAAAAAATTAATGAGCATTAAAAATAAAATTGAATTTTTTTATATTTTTTGAAAATTAAATGTAAATACATTGTTACAGTAACTTAAAATTTAATCAAAGACATTATAAATTTTTCATTTATTTTATTTAATTTGAAAATTCTATTTTGAAACGAAAAGATGTGATGTAAAAAATTTTAAAGGAGAAGAAGAAGCACAGTTTTGAGTACTATTTTTTAATCAGTCCACATAGAGACAAGACCATATAAATTCAATTTTGGTATATAGATTTTGGATATAATCCATTTAATATTACATTTTAAAGTTAAATTGTGTTAGTTGATGTTAAAATTATATTTGCATGTAAGATTTGAACATTTAAATTTTATGAGTTTCACTTCTTTTTTAACTAAACATCAATTATGATTTTATAATTTCAAATTATAACTGATAATAAATATTATATTAAAATGATTTCATTAGAAAAATTGATTTAAAAATACTACTATGTCGATCATATACTAATACTTTGTTTAATTTTATAACTGTCACACTCTTATGTTACATATTATAGTAATAAAAAATTCTTAAAATTAAGCCATTTTAAGTTTAATATTATATTTGGAACAAATATTTTTATTAAATTAATCAACCAATTTATAGAGAGATTAATGGTTAAAGTTGATAATAAATTATTTAGAATAAAAGATGTTTGATATAGTTAAACAATATATATGTTAATTAATTAAAATTGAAGTATACTTAACATTGGATGGAAGAAAAATATATACAAATTATGGGCCTTAAAAAAATCCTTTTTCAGTAGGAAGAATAAATATTAATTACAGCTAAAATTAACTACCTAATAATAAAAATTATACTATTGTCAATGTTAATTTTTTTAAAATTAAAAATTTTAGTTGTTTTATTTTTTATCAATTTGGTTGCAATAAAAAAAATATTGAATGAAATGTTTTTTTTTAAATGTTAAAATGTTTAAAAATAATTCAATTTAAATAAATGAAGTTATTCTATAATTTTGTTAAAAAAATTCTATAAATCAAAAATTTTATATAAGTAGAGAGAAAGAGCTTGTGATAAATGAACTTCAAATGAATATTTTTCTATATATTAATTAAAAAATTAAATTAGTTAAAACAATCTAGTTTCGTACAATTATAAATATTTTGGTTAAATTACTAAACGCTGCACATACTTTTATTTTGTTTATTTTATTTTACTATAGCGTATTGATACTGAGAGATAATATTAAAATCTTGTTCTAAACAACAATTAAAATATCTCAAAGTAATCATAATCTTTTTTTATGTATTTGATTTTTTTTCTTGAATTCTAAGATTAATTCTAAAACTCTTTTTTCATTTCTAACTTATTTGTTTAGAAGGTATTATATTTTTATTTTTCAAAACAATATTAAAAGTAACCCAGTCGAAAAATATCAAACTTTAAACCCTATCTCACAAGTTGCAAGTTAAGTTTTGTAAGAGGTGAATTAAAAAAAAAAATTGGATAAATCTTCTCACAAAACTTAGATCACATTTTTTAAGAGGTGAATTAAATTTTTTTGGATAAATCTTCTCACAAAACTTACCTCACATTAACACAAAAGTACATGAAAGAAAATAACAAAAATATTATTTCAAATTTCATTTTAGAAAGTCGTATCATAAATAAATTAATAATAATTTATATGATTAACATTACCTTAATAGAGAATTAATTTTATTATAAGAAAATTGTGATTTTTCGACAGAATTTTATGGATGATGAGTGTCAATAAATAGATATTACTAACGGATTTATCTATCCGTAAATTGGTAAAACTACTATTAACATAATCCGATCTGTTGGAAAATATGTATCTATTATTTTTTTTCAATTTTATTGTTGGATTTTTTTATGGATGTTTATATTAAAAGGGTCTAATCCTTCAGTAATTTCATTCTGTCTGTAGGTAAATAAATAATAAAAAAATATAATTCGTGGGTTCCGTAGGTAATAATGTAATATTTGTCGGTAAAAGATCATCAATAATTTATCATTATCGATGTATTTATATGTGAATAAGTTGGCCCAACCTACTCTAAAAGTGCACGTTACCTTTACATTATCTTGGCTAATAAAGTAAGATCTCTAGTCGGATAGTCGCAGTTCGTCTTTCCTTTATTTACTCAGCTTTGACTTACTTTGTTAAGTTAGGATTTACATTCTCAGTTAGGCGCGATGGTTTACACCTTATACATAATTTGTCAGTAATATTCATCAGAAAATAGGGTGCTTTTTTTAACCTTTACCTAAGGACATTTTCATCGATAATATCCATAAGTAAAATACAGGTGAGCATATCTGTCGGTAATGCCATCAAGTCCGCCGGTAAGTCCTATAAAACAAATTAAAATGAAATTCTCTTCTTTTTGAAATAATCAATCATGCATGCACTGTCGGTCCCAACACCTCCTAGCCAGTCCCCCTCGTCACCAATCAGCCACCAAGAGCCTTAGTCACGTCGTGTGGCCTCTATCCAACATCATCGACGACCATCACGAGTCTCCACCGCGAACCACCGCAGCTCATATGCCCACCACGAAACAAACCGCATCCCCCACCACCCTCACTTCTCCATGGTCGCAGTCTCCACCCTTGTTCCAATACCCCTTTCCCCTCTTCGCCAAAACCCTAGTTGCGTTACCCCATCTCGGCCTCTACGCATCTCCGCCGCTCACCTATCTTGGCTATGCCTCCCCGAATCATCTCAGCTTGCTGTGAGAGTTTGTTTGCATTTTTCCTTCTGCGTTGATTTATTGTGTCTTTGTTTTTTTTTTTGTTTTTTTTGTTTTTGTATACTTCTTCCTTTTTTTGCTTGGACATGGGAATGACTTTGTTGGTGATCAGTTTATTTTGTTTGATGCAGGATGGGTCAAGATTGAATCTGAACTTGATTTTAGATTAGTGTGTTGTATGGGTCGAGAATGATCTGATTTGAGTTTGAATGATAATGTTTGGTTTTGGGTTATGGTTGTCTGGTAAGTATTGGTTTGGACTAATTTTCTTTAGGGTTTGGTCCTGATTTGATTAGAGTTTGAATGAGAATATTGTTTTTTTGGTTTGTCTAGTCTAGATGAAGTATATTATAATAGGGTCATTTATTGGGTTCGTGTAATACAATTGGTGAAGATATTTGCAAATCATCATTCAGGTTCCAGAAACAATTAACCCTTGTATTTGTGAAGATATCCATTGTATGTGTTTGTTTTGTCTATTCTAATTAAATATTAGATCTAATATACAATTTAGTGTATCATAAAATATTAATTAAAAGGTAAATGAAGATATGCAAATTTGAAAATTGAATTAAGATTGTGTTTTAGCTTTTTTCAATAGAAACTAAAATTGTAAATGAAAATAAATAATTAAAGGAAGAATTTTCTTAATTTTTTTATAAGCTAACTCTCCTAATTAATTATTGTGATTAGTTAAATCATGGTGACATTTTAATAAATTGAAATAATAAAAATTAGAAACATGATGTAAAAATATATTATTAATATTTATTTTATGTTATACATTTTGTTTACTCTTATAACTGTACTGTTATTGGATTACACAGTATAATATTTTGCAAAAATACTTAAAAGAGTTAATACAATTTACATACAAGTGGAGTGTTATTGCAACAATCTTAAAATTAAGTCTTTTTAAGTTTAATATAATTTTTTGAATTTTGTTATTAAATTAATTTTATGGGCAGATTAATAATTATTTTTTTTATAATAGATGATATAGTTAAACAATATATAGGTTAATTAGTTGAAATTAACTTATACTTAACATTGGTGGAAGAAGAAACAAAATATAAAAATATTTCAATTTTTATTTTAGAAAGTCGTATCACAAATAAATTAATGATAATTTACATGATTAACATAATCTTAGTAAAGTATTTATTTTAATATACTAAAAAAATTAATAGATATTAAAAATAAAATTGTACGAAATCAAGTAGAATTTATATTTCAAAAACTAAAATGAAAATGCATTATTTACATTGAATAGATATATTATCTTAAATCATAGTTATTGTCATATAATTGATATACCAAAAAATTTTTAATATTAATATTATTATTAATTAATATCTATAATATATTTAATTAAACATATTTTAAAATAGAAATAATATGGTGTAAAATATAATTAACACAAAACATAAATTAGATTTGAGTAAATCTTTTAATATAGTTAGTCCACGTATATGCAGAAACATTAAAAATAAAGGACATTAAATATAAAAATTAAAACATAAAATGTTATTTTAATACATGAAGGATATATTTTTTTATAGTAATTTATGAAGGTTAAAATATTTTTAAATTTATATTCAAAATATACTTAATTTATATTAAAAATCGTTGAATATAAATTAAAATTATAGTCTTTTTAATATATTTCAATTTTCACAATTAAAAACACAATTCTAAACATTGCATAATTGAAAATAGCGATTTAATTATACTTTTAATAAATTTATGATAATACTAGCTTATTATTTTTAAGTTATTATAAATCATTTATCTTATACATTTTAATACAAAGACAAACTATGAATGTTAGTTTCTAGAATACTAAATTTACATAATTAAATTTATTATTAGTCTTAATAGTTTAATTTTATTATTAAAAATCTGAAATTATATATTTATGTACATTAAAATCATTACAATATATTATTCTACCTGAAGAGAGATTATCACTAAAAAAACATAAAAATTAAAAGACAAATGAGGTAGCTCTAACAACGCCGGAACACTCTACAAAAGGTTTGAAATAACTTTCAAGAATTATATCATGTAAAAATAAATAAATATGGGTTAAGTGTGTTTGATCACTTAACCCATATTTTTTTCTAATAAGATCTAACATTTTAACAAATTTCATAATATACTAAAAAAAGTATTATACATAATTATTTCATCCAAATTTTTAATAATATGATAAGTCATCAAATTTGTATATAAAACAAATTTAATGATGGATTAAAATAGAACAACATTTATAAGAGACTATTTATTTTTATTTATGATGGATCAAAAGTGGAAATACATTTAAATTTATAATTTTATTTATGAAACACATTTAAATTTATAATTAACGAAAATAATGAAAATCTTAATATAATATGATACTTTTAGTAATGTATTTTTTTATAAATTTAAACTTACTTTTTTTAGTTTAGTTTTTAAATTGTATGTATTATTATAATATAGTAAAAATGATAGAGTTTAAAAACAATGTAGAATGTGAGAAGTTTAAAAAGAAAAAAAAGTTAAAAAAGGATATATATATATATATATATATAAATAAATGTAATTGGATTAAATTTATTATCCCCTCATATTATTATACATTATTAGCGTAATTTTAGTTTAATTAAAAAATAGAATACAAATATATTATACTATACTAATATACCATTATATTATTTTCATTATATATAAATTACAAAACTAATAATTTTTAAAAATTTTAATGATAATTTTTTTAACTTATATATTACAAAATATTTTTTAATACTTTAATAAATATAACTTTTTTTAAATATTTTCATTAATTTAAAGTATAACTTTCAATATTTTTTAGTATTTTTTTAAATGTGGATATCTTTAATATTTTGGACATATAAATATAATTTATACATGTTTTTAAACCTTTTTCTAATATTTGTTTTTAAAAATATAATATCATTCTTAATATTTTATAGATTTTATATTTATATATTTATAAAAGTAATTGGATTAAATTTATTATCCCCTCATATATTATTATACATTATTAGCGTAATTTTAGTTTAATTAAAAATTAGAATACAAATATACTATACTATACTAATATACCATTATATTATTTTCATTGTATATAAATTACAAAACTAATAATTTTTAAAAATTTTAATGATAATTTTTTTAACTTATATATTACAAAATATTTTTTAATACTTTAATAAATATAACTTTTTTAAATATTTTCATTAATTTAAAGTATAACTTTTAATATGTTTTAGTATTTGTTTAAATGTGGATATCTTTAATATTTTGGACATATATATATAATTTATACATGTTTTTAAACCTTTTTCTAATATTTGTTTTTAAAAATATAATATCATTCTTAATATTTTATAGATTTTATATTTTATATTTTTTAATATATATTTGAGAAATTAATCAATTATAATCTATAATTTGAAAAACTAATCAATTCTAATCAATTATTTAAAAAACTAATCGATTATAATTAATTATTTGAAAAAGTTATCGAATATAATCGATTATTTGAAAATTTAATCGATCATAATGAAATTGACTCGAGACTTTAGATAGCGGTTCTAGAACTAACCGCTATTAAAAATATAGTTTAGATAGCTGATTCAAGTGGAGCCGTTATCATATGGTCACTTTTAAGAGCGGTTAAAGTGGAACCGCTATCATATATGTGTCAATTATCACTTTTAAGAGCGGTTAACATTTAAATATATAAATATATCAAAATATAAATATTTAAATATATAAATATATAAATATATAAATATATATATATATATATACAATATTATCCCCTCATATATTATTATACATTATTAGCGTAATTTTAGTTTAATTAAAAATTAGAATACAAATATATTATATTATATTAATATACCATTAAGTTATAATATTTGTAATTTATTTTTATTGTGTATAAATTACAAAACTAATAATTTTTAAAAAATTTAATGATATTTTTTTAATTTATATATTACAAAATATTTTTTAATACTTTAATAAATATAACTTTTTAAAAATATTTTCATCAATTTAAAGTATAATTTTTAATATTTTTTAGTGTTTTTTTAAATGTGGATATCTTTAATATTTTGGACATATAAATATAATTTATATATGTTTTTAAACCTTTTTCTAATATTTATTTTTAAAAATATAATATCATTTTTAATATTTTATAGATTTTATATTTATATATTTATAAAAGTAATTGGATTAAATTTATTATCCCCTCATATATTATTATACATTATTAGCATAATTTTAATTTAATTAAAAATTAGAATACAAATATACTATACTATACTAATATACCATTATATTATTTTCATTGTATATAAATTACAAAATTAATAATTTGTATACTATACTATACTAATATATAATTTGTATACTATACTAATAGTATAATATACTATATTATAATATTATTTGTATACAAAACTAATATCTTTATATATAAATATGGAAAGATATAAATATATGTAAAAATATAAAGATATAAATATATCAATATATAAATATATCAATATTTAAATATATCAATGTATAAATATAACAATATTAAAATATATAAATTTATTTTTATTTATACATTTTATATTTATATATTTATACGGATATATATTTATTTGTATATAAATATAATTTATTTGTAAGTTATTATTAAAAAATTCTAGTAGCTCGAGTGGTTGGAGTTTCACTCTCCAACACTAAGGTGCACGGTTTGAATCCCGACAATAACAATAAATAGGGAAATAAATTAAAAATCTAAATAAATAAAAATAATTAACTTTGTTATTTATTTAGTGACCGATTTAAATTGGTTGCTATTTTTTTAACTTTGTTATTGATTTAGCGATCGATCTAAATCGATCGCTATTTTTTTAACTTTGTCACCGATTTAGCGACCAATTGGATATATTAATTTCGATCGCTATTTTGCGA